GAAGTCTACTGCCTTTATTCACTGAAGTCTACTGCCTTTATTCACTGTAATATTTTTACATTAAGTATTTTTGTAACTTAATATCTGACATTTTCAGTGTAATAATCAGTGTTTATTGAATTATTTTCAGTGCCATCTGTGTAAAGAAGTCGAGTCCATCAGCTCTCAGCTTGGTGTGAACTCTGTGGAGAACTTCTTCTCTTGATCTGAGGTCAACGTTCTACCTTCACTCCGAGGACACCTGTCAGCAGCCATGCTGACCTAGAATCAGCTGTTAGTTTATGCAGTGAGCTGAATAATCCAGAGACAGAGATCATGTCTGACAACCAGGCCAACAACAACAACGTCCCTCTGAACAACAACAACAACATGGGACCCAACAGGATTCGAAACCCCAACATCAACCAGAACCCCCTCATCAACGTCCGTGACCGCCTCTTTCACGCCCTCTTCTTCAAGATGGCCGTCACATACGCCCGACTGTTCCCTCTGTCCTTCAGGAGGGTCTTTGAGTTCTTCGTCTTGCTCAAGGTGTGAAACCTCTCTTATATACATATCTGCAAACTTGTCACTGTTCGGTGAAATTCACCGTTTTGAATCAAAAATATATCATCCACGTGAATCGTGTAGATCCGTAGAGTTTTTTTTCGGGGGGGGTCAACTGGCCAGCCAGCGTTTCTCAGATTGGAGTGAGACGAGGAGAAAAGGTGATGTCGTGATCTTCACAATAGAACATCTTTGATGTGTCGAGTCTTGGCCAATCAGCTTTCAGATGTCTACAGTGTCTTCATTTCCCTTCGTTAAAGTTTAAGTTACGTTATGTTCCGTTACAGTTCAGACTCGCTGTGTTAAGTTAACGTCCACTGCATGCGGAACTTTGTCGACTGTTAACATTCGTCATTATCACGATTTAGAAGGAAAAAATGTAACGTGATGAAACATGCAGCCCCCCGTGTTCCGGTTCAGTTCACGCGGTCACTCGTTAACGTTAAACCGGAACACCGGCGCATCTGGTTGCAAGTTGTTGTTTTTTTAACTCTAAGTAGAATGAGGATGATTTCGTGGTCAGAATAACTTTTATGACCACGAAACATGAGGTCCAGATACTGATGAGATCATGTGGTCAAAGAGCTCCAGGAAGAGGAGGCTAGTTTGACGCAGGGCTGAGCTGTGAGTGGAGCTGGGCCTGGATAAAGGTGGAGGTCTAAACAGACGCGAGTACAGCTTCCTGCTGTCAGTGTTTTAAATACATTGATAAGGCAGGCTATGCTAAATGCAGCCTCTGCTCCAAGGAGATGAACTACAGCAACAAGGGCTCACATGCCCTCTCATCACACTGACACACTGTTCACTGTGATGACCACAGTCAGTGTACAGTCCCAACAGTCCGACGTTGCTCCCAAGGACCCTGAAGTAATGAGAGGGTTAAGGTGCCTGTACCTTCATTTCAGCAGGTTGCTAATGCAGAGGTGTGTAGATCACAGCTATTATTTTACTCTTGATAAACTACTTTAGCCAGAGTAGATTATCATTTTCATTTAAATAATTGAACTGGGTTGAATGCATATTAATTGCAAATATAAGATGGGCCACAATTCTAACAGCTTTAGAGTAACAGTAGAAGTTAATATGAAGCCGTACAGTAACAGGGTTCAATGAAAACTAATCACTTTATTTTGTACAGGCGATGGTTCTCGCTACTCTTGCTATCTTTGTGTTCATTTGACCAAAATGAGACCTCGGTCTCAATGGATTTTGTCTAAATAAAGGTTAATATTAATAATAGAGCTGAAATAGTGATTAATAATGAATAACACATTCGCTTTTTGCTTAAAGTAAATGTCTTATCACTTAATTTTCTTCTCAGAGTACACCAGAATGCTACATTTTAAAGCTCATATTTAAAATAAAATTCTCGGAGCACCCCCCCCCCCGATAGGGTTTCGGGCTTGTCACCTATTTCACCTCTCATGAGTTTGCAGGTATGTATATAGAGTTAGATATATAACACAAGGTGTGAAACGTCTGTTATATAGAGTTAGATATATAACACAAGGTGTAGCATCATAATACAAGTCAATGCAACCTCCGTTATGTTAGCCGTTAGCTTAGTTACCAGCAGGACTCTGATTACTGTGAGCAGCATGATGGGAATGAATTACAATATAATATATAAGTCTGATTTAACTTAGTTGTCACAAGTATTTTTAAGGTTTCTCCATGAATTTCTTTTTGAGCTTTCTGTCTCCTTCACTCACGCTGAAGAACACTCACGTTAGCTAGCAGCTAACGGACCAGCTGAGTTCTAACCACACATTTTGTTTTCATGTTATCTACTCTAACGTTATAGCAAACTTTTTAATATCACTTTAGACCGCTAACCAGCTGCAACACGTTAAGGACAAGGAGAAGTGCTCGTCTCCTAAATCACATTTCATAATATCTCAAGATGTTAAACTATCGAGCAGCGGCACAGATGTGGAAATGTGACCTGCAAATAATCTGATATCTGACACTGATTGGTTGGTCAGCAGTCAGATTGGTGCATCTCTAGTAAAGATATAACACAGGGTTACTGAGTCAGGATGGGGTTCATGAAACCTTAACGTTTGTCATCCTCTGTTAACAGCAGCATCTCATGTAAGTCAAGTTGAAACTTATAGTCCATCCAGTGTCCTCTGGACAACATAAACAAATATGCCTGGAAAACAACAACAGAATGTTCCTTTAAGAAGCTGTCTAATCTGCAGGATCATTCCTGCAGATTAAAATGACAGGATTTTGAATGGAGTCTGGTGGGGAAGTCCAGAGATTGTGTAAATCCACCAGATTAACAGCAGTCACCCCTCCAGGCTTTACTCAGAAAACAGTGATGCAACAGACTGCTGGGTCATGATGCAGACTGGTAATAAATCAAGAGAGAAGTAGAATCATTTTCTCATAGACTTCTATACAACCAGAGGAGTCGCCCCCCGATGGACAGTAGAGAGAATGCAGCTTTAACACATGAAGCTTTGACTTCACTTTAAAGAACCAGAGGTTGCTGCCTGCTTAAGCCTGAGATTATCAAACTGACTTCAGCGCGATCATCAAATAAAGGCATCAATAGCAGCTATGATGAGAATGTTTTTGATGTGTGAAAGTTAAATGAGCTCCACTGACTATCAGCCTAACATCATGTTAGTGGAGGCGTTATCTTATTTACTCCTATGTGCTCTTGCTCAGGCGCTCTTCGTCCTCTTCATCCTCGCCTACATTCACATCGCCTTCTCTCGCTCGCCCATCAACTGTCTGGAGGTGGTGAGGGAGCGCTGGCCTCGGGACGGCATCCTGCGGGTGGAGATCCAGAGGAACTCCAGCCGAGCCCCGGTCTTCCTGCAGTACTACGACTCCACGGGCCTCCAGGAGGAGCTGGAGGCTGAGGAGGGAGGAGGAGGACCGAGAGGAGTGGTGGGGCTCAGCCTGGCAGCACTGCAGGAGGAGGAAGACGACGAGGAGGAGATGACCCTGGAGATGTTTGACAACAGCTCAGTGCAGGTGAGCAGATAGTCCCCGTAGTTTTCAGAGTAGTCCCCGTAGTTTTCAGAGTAGTCCCCCTAGTTTTCAGATTCGTTCTTTTACAGAAAGAACTAGTTCTACTCTGTTTTCTCCTGCAGTTTAAGCTTGACATTGAGCCTCGTCTGAAGCCATCTCTGATTGGAGGAGGTGTTGGAAGAGGAGGAGCAGGAGTGAACGACAGCCAGGACGTCTCCTTCAGCCAGGCCACTAAAGGTATGCAGCCGCTGAAGGACTCAGTGTCTGAGCTGGAGATGATGACCAGAGCAGGTAAACCCTCCTCCTCTTCCTCCCGCTCTTCCTCTCTCCTCCTCATTCCTCCTCCCTGTCCCTTCTCCTCCTTCCTTCTACCTCCTCTACACCTCTTCCTCTCCCCCCCCTCCTCCTCCTTTTCCTCCCTCCTCTCCACCTCCCTCTTTCCTCATTTCTTCCTCCTCCACCTGTGGAGATCTGAGATTCTCCTTAACCCCAGAAGGTGGTAGCAGTCTCAGTGACTGTAAACCAGAACAAGAGGAAGAGCTCATTATGAAGATGAACCTCCTCAGATACTGTAGTGTCATGTCTGTTGGTGTCCTAAAAGTAGTCATGTTCTTGTCGCCTTAGTGTGGCCTCAGGAGGAGTACATCGTGGAGTATTCTCTGGAGTACGGCTTCCTGCGTTTGTCTCAGACCACCAGACAGAGACTCAACATCCCTGTCATGGTCGTTACTTTGGGTAAGACACTGAAGGCTTTTGTCATTTCCCAGTTTGTATATCCTTGATTCCTTTCCTCACCTTCTCTCCTCGCATTTTAGTCCAGGCCACAGGAGATGAGAGCGGAGGAGGCGAGGAAGAGACGATATATATACAGTATATTTAATATTAATTCAATTCACAATAGCAGGTGAATTTAATGTAGCTACGATCAAGATAACAACATAATTAATCTCCGGTGAAAATGTCATTAATGAATGCAGTTAGAACAGAGTGAGCTACACAAACTGTAAAGGACAGAAAGTTTGATCATCTTAAATATATATAACTTTTGAGAACAAAAGGAATAGTTGCATGTAGAGTCCTGTTATGGTTTCAGATTATTCAGCTGTGTATCACCACTCATTTATTCCTCACGGGTGTTGAAAGACTTCCCTAAAGGATGCACCAGTGTTTCCTTACTTATAGCTCCTCCAGAAGCCTCCTAGCTCCTAGAGATGCATGTTAGAATTGGGACGTCCTTCAAGGTGGAGCGCTGAGATCAAGGAGGGAGGAGACGAGGAGGCACAAAATAGATAAATGAGAAGAGAACACTGAACACCTGTCTGCCTCACAGTCACGTGACTCTCACACCTTTGATGAAACTTGTTCACCTGTTCAGATCCCATGAAGGACGAGTGTTTCGGTGACGGCTTCAGTCGCTTCCTGCTGGACGAGTTTTTGGGTTACGATGACATCCTGATGTCCAGCGTGAAGGCGCTCGCAGAAAACGAGGAGAACAAAGGTAGCGAGACATCACCTGTTTGTTCCAAAATATTTTGATGTTGTGTCTTAACAAATCCAGTTTCAATACCAATTCTGTTTCTCAAACCCCCGACTTCAATTACAGATCCTTAGATCCATCTCCTCATTACCAAACCCATGTTCCGCTTCTATTTCTCAGCTTTAGAAATAACTATGAACCTGAGCCAGCCCTGACTATGAACCTGAGCCAGCCCTGACTATGAACCTGAGCCAGCCCTGACTATGAACCTGAGCCAGCCCTGACTATGAACCTGAGCCATCAGAACCTAATTTCCTCTAGTCCCCTACTCTGATTGCAGAACCGGAGTCCCGCTTGTCCCCTACTCTGATTGCAGAACCGGAGTCCCGCTTGTCCCCTACTCTGATTGCAGAACCGGAGTCCCGCTTGTCCCTCATTTCCATAAGAGACCAGCGATTATCTAATAAGTAATCAGTAACCTGGTGTGTGTAGTTCAGTGAGTTAGAAACTGAGTCATCAGCAGGTTGTTGATGGCACAGTGTGGTTCTCTGCAGGGTTCCTGAGAAATGTGGTGTCTGGAGAACATTACCGCTTTGTCAGCATGTGGATGGCCAGAACATCCTACCTGGCCGCCTTCGTCATCATGGTCATATTCGTAAGTGAATAAGTTATCGCGGTGATGTCTGACAGTTTTAAATACTTAAGTCAAAGGTTAGACTTTCATATTAACATCTTCCATGGCAGTGTGAGGTGGTGTTTTAGAATAAAGAGGAAGATTTAAAGGAAAGCAGAAATATCTAACTCATGTTTTGTCTTTTTCAGACTCTATCAGTGTCCATGCTGCTCAGATATTCTCACCACCAGATCTTCGTCTTCATCGGTCAGTTTAATCTGAGACCTCACTTCCACACAGAAATCGGTCCACACCAGTTCATTGTTCAGTTCAGTCCAGTATAATCCACACCAG